AAAAATACATTTTTATTTAAATAATCCAAAATTTTGGTTTTTAAAAAATTCATATAGTTGATTTAAGTCAATTTCACCCTGCCTGGAACACTGGTCATGTTGGCTAGGGCTTATGGTTATTGTAGTCCAAAATGATGTCGCGTCCCAGACTGGGAAACCACTCTTCCAGCCAGTGGATGTCTATAGGAAGGAGGATGTGCTCTTGTCAAGAGGTTGCATAGGCTGTGATGTCAGACCATGAGCTGACAATGAGCATTGTTGACAGTGTGCCCTGGCACATTATTCCCAGTGTGAACATAATTGCAGATCCTTAGCAAGAAAGAGAAAAATGGTTTTCCCTCTAAGCATAAATGATACATAAATATAATCAGTTTTCTGGTTGCCTATGATGAATGGGAACTGCCTCTGGGTGACCAGCAATAAAAGTGTTACAGTTAAACTACATATAACTGGTACTCTGTTTGGGCACTATAGATTAATAATTTTTGTCAAGGTGAATGCAAATCACAGAAATCATACAATAATTGAATTGGAATGGGCCTACAAGGGGATCAAGTCCAAGTCCCCTACTCAAGGCAGGAATCCGGATGAGACAGATGGCTGTCCCGTTTTTTCTTGAATACCTCCAGCGTTAGAGCGCTCACTACCTCCCAAGGTCATGGGTTCCACTGTTGTACTGCTGTAACAGTTAGGAAGTTTTTCCTGGTATTCAGCTGAAATCTGGCTTCCTGTAGCCTTAGCTGAAGGCTAAACATGTCCAGTTCTTTCACTCTGGGCAAACTGGGATGAAATAACTCATTCTCAGTGTTCAGGTTTAAGATGTCCATAGCATCCTTGTGCCGTTATCTGTCCACACGTGTATCATCCGTGCCACAAAAAACACTAGAAATCTGTGTCCGATTCCAAATAGAATGCTAAAGTTCTCTGCTGAACTTAATCTGGGATGTTTAAACAGGACTGAAGGGGTAGAGCCCTCCTAAAACTGCCACTTTTCAGATGCTAAGGCCAATTTCTTATCTGAAGATGAGTTTCTTTTTTAAAGCTTCTTTTTCAAAAGTGTTGATTTTTCCTCTCCTTGCTTTTGAGAAGCTGTTTTCTTTTCTAGTCATAAAATACTCTGTTTCACAACATCCTTTTGTTAACAAATTGCTTCCGAGGATTGAAATCTTAGCAGTGGTCTCGTCCTCACAAGCCTTTTTTGTGTTTCTGTCCTTTTTGGTCTCAATTCTCTGCTCTGCAAAATTAGTACCTCTTTTTGTGTCAGCCTCTTCCTCTCTTTAAATTCCACCCCAAGGAACTGGGTACACGCAAAAGCACTCTCACGGGGCCAGCGATGAATAGCAGCTTGTGTTGTTTAGGTAATTTGTAAACCACCTTGATTTCTCAGGGATAGATGACACCGGTTTTATGTGGCACAAAATACCTGGGACAGTGTTGCTTCTGTCCGTGGTGTAACCTGAGAAAAGCAGCTACAGGCCTAGAAAATCAAAACAAGGGAAGCCAGTGGGTGCAGGTCCCATTTGCTGCCTCGCTGAGAAACTGAGAGTACCCAGAGTTGGCTGTGTCATAAGTTCTTGCATTGCTGCCCATTGAAGAGTTATAGACCCCCCGAGCAGGTTTTGCTTGGGTCTCACTGAGTCTCTGCTTCAAGATGTCTGAGGATTCAAAGCACTATAGATTAATAATTTTTGTCAAGGTGAATGCAAATCACAGAAATCATACAATAATTGAATTGGAATGGGCCTACAAGGGGATCAAGTCCAAGTCCCCTACTCAAGGCAGGAATCCGGATGAGACAGATGGCTGTCCCGTTTTTTCTTGAATACCTCCAGCGTTAGAGCGCTCACTACCTCCCAAGGTCATGGGTTCCACTGTTGTACTGCTGTAACAGTTAGGAAGTTTTTCCTGGTATTCAGCTGAAATCTGGCTTCCTGTAGCCTTAGCTGAAGGCTAAACATGTCCAGTTCTTTCACTCTGGGCAAACTGGGATGAAATAACTCATTCTCAGTGTTCAGGACCAAAGGAGCTAAGTGTTCAAATAATATAGCGCTGACCGCCGTAACCTAACTGTGGATTGGAGATGAAATCTGCAGAGAACAGATTTCTTACAAAGGATAGATTTCCAGCCTTTCAGCTTTAGCAGCAACTATTTCGGGAAGTTTTTTCCCCCCAGCTCTGGTAATCCAATTTAATAAGTATAAGCACAAGATTACTTTGAATAAACAGCAAGGTGTGTGGGCTGTGGTTAATAGTCATATACTTGCCTCTTCCAGAGGATATGGTGGAAGAATGAATTGATTCCTTGTACCTTTTTGATTAAGAGGATACATTATGAGATGTGTCTTCTTTTGCAGGTAGCAGCATGACCAAATACACTGAAAAACTAGAAGAGATAAAGAGAAGTGAGTGACATTACAGTAATAACTTCATCCAGCATCTTCTTGTCAAAAACGTGGAGCAACAGAGCAATCACGGAAGCGTCCAGGCACACTCGCACACATTCACACAACTCCACTCCCAGCAGGTCTCCTGTCACAGGTCCATTTTCCCACTGGCTGCATGCTGAGTTGTGCAGCTGCTGGGTAGCTCAGTGGTTTGTTTGGGAGTTCGAATCCCCACTGGTCCTTCTTGACTTGATAATCTACAGTATAGGATCCCTTCCAGCCCTGCAGTTCTAAGATGATGATGATGATTGATGTGAAGAGAAGCCTCGCTAGAGCAGGGTGGAACACTTACAAGGTTACCTTTCTGCTCCACATTTAGGCGAGAGGATGCTGACCTTTTTTATATATATTCTAAATCTCTCCAACTTTCTTCCCAACAGAAGGATCCTAGAAACTTGGATGTTTGCCATCTATTCCCTGGGGACCTCAGGGTAGATGTTGGGGTGTGTGTGTGTGTGCGCGCACGTATGATGGTGGTGTACAGGGGAACCTGCTGTGTGTGGGTGAGCGTAGTCCTTCGAGGGCTCATCATGTGAGCACCCCAACTAAAGGGGAAGGGGAGTCAGAATAGGACCAAGTCACTGTCGACAGCTTGGCAGGCTGGTTTTGAAGGGCTTACAGCATTCACTGGCATTGTCTTTCTTTCCCTTTCAAGTCAAATGGGCAAGTTAAAAAAATCTTAATAGAAGGTCGGTCAAATTTTAAGATGTCCATAGCATCCTTGTGCCGTTATCTGTCCACACGTGTATCATCCATGCCACAAAAAACACTAGAAATCTGTGTCCGATTCCAAATAGAATGCTAAAGTTCTCTGCTGAACTTATTCTGAGATGTTTAAACAGGATTGAAAGGGTAGAGCCCTCCTAAAGCTGCCACTTTTCAGATGCTAAGGCCGATTTCTTATCTGAAGATGAGTTTCTTTTGTAAAGCTTCTTTTTCAAAAGTGTTGATTTTTCCTCCCCTTGCTTTTGAGAAGCTGTTTTCTTTTCTAGTCATAAAATACTCTGTTTCACAACATCGCTTTGTTAACAAATTGCTTCCGAGGATTGAAATCTTAGCAGTGGTCTCGTCCTCACAAGCCTTTTTTTGTGTTTCTGTCCTTTTTGGTCTCAATTCTCTGCTCTGCAAAATTAGTACCTCTTTTTGTGTCAGCCTCTTCCTCTCTTTAAATTCCACCCCAAGAAACTGGGTACACGCAAAAGCACTCTCACGGGGCCAGCGATGAATAGCAGCTTGTGTTGTTTAGGTAATTTGTAAACCACCTTGATTTCTCAGGGATAGATGACACCGGTTTTATGTGGCACAAAATACCTGGGACAGTGTTGCTTCTGTCCGTGGTGTAACCTGAGAAAAGCAGCTACAGGCCTAGAAAATCAAAACAAGGGAAGCCAGTGGGTGCAGGTCCCATTTGCTGCCTCGCTGAGAAACTGAGAGTACCCAGAGTTGGCTGTGTCATAAGTTCTTGCATTGCTGCCCATTGAAGAGTTATAGACCCCCCGAGCAGGTTTTGCTTGGGTCTCACTGAGTCTCTGCTTCAAGATGTCTGAGGATTCAAACGGGCCTTCCAGTTTAGCTCCAGGTATGTCACCATGATGATGGGGAGCAAGGTGTACAGTTCTGTTAGCCTTCATAATGGGTTTTTAATAGAGCACTGTATCTGATATGGCTTCTTAACAAGGTGAGCAAACAGAAGCTGCCACTTCAGTGGGTAGATTAAAGGTGAGCAAATGTTGCTTTTCTTAATTGCTATACCTTTCTTTTCATGCTACCCCTGGCAAAGAGTGTCAAAGGCTAGGCCAGAAAGGGAAATGTTTAAATATAATTTATATTTGGTTTTCTGCTGGGGTGTGTATGTATCCAGTATATAATAATAATCGTAGAACTGCAGAGCTGCAAGGGACCCTATGAACCGTGAGGTCCAGCCCCTGTCAAGGGGACATGATGGGGAATCGAACTCCCAACTGCTGTCTCTGCAGCCAGAGACCTGAACCTCTGAGCGATCCAGCAGTTCATTTGTAGTGATATTATTGAGCATGGGTCAGTCCTGTTCAGTTTTGCAGAGTGATGCAGACATTGGGAGTGAAGAACGATTGAGTGGGACGGGGCCTGTAAGGCCATCCAGTCCAACCCCCTGCTCCGTGCAGATGAAACCAGCTACCTCATGCTTTGCTTTCTCATGTGGCCAGGAACCGTGTGCTTCTCCATCCTTAGGCTTGGCGTGCTGCAGGAAAAGAGGGAGTGGGGACCATAGAGCCTGGCGATTTCTTTTAGTTGGACTTGGGAGACCTGAATTCAGTGTTTTGCTTCAGCCCAGTCTTGTTTGCGGTGATCTTAAAGGAGCCGGTTTGGTTTGCCCCTTGTTTCCCCATTTCCTCATCTGCTAACAAGGAACAGGCTTCAAAAGAGCAGGGACACAAATAGGATACAAAACATCCTCATGTACCTGTTTTGTGGAGCTATGAACTTGAGGAAAACTTCCACTGAACTGGACTGTTTGAGGAAGCCCATGTTAAACCTCAGCCTGCCTGGTTATGAGCAACTAACTAACCAGAGTCAGGATTTTCAGATTCCCACAACACTGTTAATGGGTGTGGGAACTGTACCTTGGTGTGGGATCACGTCAAAGAATCTGGTAAACGAACCGATGGGCGGTAGCTGTAGTGGCAATTCTGTGAGACCTGCTAGAACTGGAAATTCCAAACTGACCAGCGGAAAGTCAATAATTTGGGCACCACATGCCTCCTTTCATAAGCCAGTGTCAGAGGACTTTGGGGGGTCTGTTCCATAGCTCTCCAGCCACACCGAACTGGGCCCGGATTGGATCTTCAGAACATTTTTCAGGCAAAAATGCCCTTTCAAAACTTTAGAATTCTACCAGGATGTCCTTGGAGGGAGGATGATACCTATGGTCACCCTCTCCTGAAATGTATGAATCAAACTCTGTGGCAAGGCTCACAGCTGGTACCTCTTGGCTGTCTTGCAGATTACAGATACAAGAAAGATGAACTCTTCAAAAGACTGAAAGTGACGACATTTGCCCAACTGGTACGTAAAGCTGGCCCTCCCAGTGGCTTCTGGGAAATCTGTGTTTCTTGCCTCTTTGCTGCAGATTCGTGCCAAACAGGACTCTGAGGTCATGATAGGCCTGGTTCTTGCTGTACCTGAAAGCCTTTAGGAAGGACTAGGGGGCAATCCCAGCCTCTTGTAGGCTTATCTGTCACGGACGAGATGCTCAGCGCCTGCCTGCTTGCTTTGAAACAGACCGTGAGGTGTCTTCTCTGCTCGACACCTCTCATTTCTGCAGGCTGAAGAGGATAGGACGTGCCCATTTCCCCTTTGGTCCTAGCGATGCCGACACTGAAATGGGATATGGGTGGGGGTTGAGTGGAAAGTAGGTGGGGCTACATCCCCTTTTTGGCAGAAGCCCCCATGTCCCAGGCCCAAATAAGGCATCGATGGGGCTAACACACCCTGTCCAGTTTTAGCAAGTTCTGTTGTATTCCGTGGATGCTAACACTTCTCAGGCGTCAGAAGCAGGGAGCAGGTAAGAGGGTGTGCCTCCATCCCGGCTCTTGTGGAGCTGATGGTCTGTGGGTTTACGATTCAGAAAAACCAGGCCTTCACTAGCTCACACATGGAACAACTAGAAGGTTTTGGTTGGTTTGTTCGTTAGTTTCTGCGTTCCGTGTCTAAATCACACTGGCCATGTGACCACGGAAAGATTGTCTTCGGACAAACGCTGGCTCTAGCACATGGAACAACTATAGGGTTTTGGTTGGTTTGTTCGTTAGTTTGTTTGTTCATAGCTTTTTTTTTACCCCATCTGTCTCCTTAAAAGAGGATCCAAGGTGACAATATTTAAAAACTAAGATTTTCATAGCTTTTTTTTACCCCATCTGTCTCCTTAAAAAAGGACCCAAGGTGACAATATTTAAAAACTAAGATTAGTAAGTAGGCAAACCTTGTAAAATGGTGAAATAGATATTCTATGTGGTCTGTCAGCTGCCAGCCTTGAGGTGGATGGCGGAGACCTGGCCCCCTCTCAGGCTGAGTACTAGAATACATGAAAAACTGACGCACATGATTCCAGATATGTGCAGAATGCCTTGGACTCCACAGAGTAGCTCGTGGTCTGTTTTGCCAAGAGATATGGGATTATCCTGCCTCTCCCCCACCCCCCTCATGTCTGTCTTCCTCTCTGGTTCATGGCTGCTTTCTGAGTCCCAACCCGCTGACGTTTGCTAACCCTCACCCTTTCCTTCTACCTGCAGGTGATCCAGGTTGCTTCTCTTTCTGAGGCAAACTCAGAAGTACCGTCTGAAGAAACACAAAAGCTAGATGGTAAAAAAAAGCTAATGTTCTCCTTGGCTATGAACTGAAGCTGATTTTTTTTAAAAAAAATCTTTCAGCAACCTGGTGCCCATGAAGTATGTGAGACTTGAACTCTACAGTTAATCATGGGAGTTGTAGTCTGATCTATTTGGAAGGTGCCAGGTTGGAGAAGGCTGATTTTCAAGTTCTTGAAATAGCAGGTCATGTTGTGGAGGGGAAAAGTGCAGGCAGAAATATTTTACATCAGTGGTTCCCACCCTTGGGTGACCCCGGTGTTCTTGGACTGCAATTCCCAGAAGCCTTTGCCACCAGCTGTGCTTCCTGGAGTTTCTGGGAATTGCAGTCCAAGAACACCTGGGTGACCCCAGGTTGGGAGCCATTGATTTCTACAATATATCCAACAGTGGCTCAATCCACTGTTTGGGGTCACCTAATGCTGTACCCCTTGGCCAGATAAGGATGTTTATGTGGAACATGTGGAAACAAAAAGCACCACCTGGGTGGACTTTTAGTTGAATATTTTAAGTAGCGCCCTTGTGCCATTCTCTGAAGGAGCAGCACTCTTTTCACACACCGACGGCCACGTCCTCCTTTCTTTTTCTTCTTTGGAGAGCTTCCTGACTGGTTTTAACAAACACCGAAATACTAAGAATGCCCTCAACATGGTGGCCTTGGCAATGATGTCATGTCATCAAACGTATCAGAAGCCTTGCGACCTCGCATTGATTCCAGCTATGCAACATACCTGGCTGCATTTTGGGGAGAAGGCTTTGGATCTGGCCCAGGGCCACTTAAAATGATGTTGAAATGTCTTGGAAACCTCATTGTTGTTGTTGTTGTTTTTCTTGAGGGAAGGATAGCATTAAAAAAAATTCTTACCATCTGCTATAAGAGGAGGAGAAGGATTATGTGATCTCTCTCAAATCCCAGAGGCCCAGGACATGGGGCGGTGAGTAATTCACCTCCATGATCTCTGATTCCTTCAGAAGGTGATGCGGCTCCTGCAGAGAACAGTGCTGATGTCGTAGCGGAAACGAACGGCAAAGTCAGCCCCGGAGAGAAGCCAGCCAGCCCCATCCTGTTCATCAACAACACCGGTGCCGGGGAGGCTTATCGCTCGACCCTGCAGAGGTACGGAGCGATGCGTCTCTGCGCTCTATGTCTTCCTTTCTGTCTCCTCGCCTGCTCTCCTTCTCTTGACTCTCATGCAAAAATGGGATTTTTGTCAGACCGGCTTCCAGAGGAGGATAACAGCAGGCCTGCGCACGTTGAGCAGTGTTGGGGGGGGGCTTTCCTAAAATGTAATGCCTCCTCTTCCCCCCACCCCAGTGTGATCAGTGGTGTTGGTGAGCTGGACCTGGGAAAAGACACCCCAAAGAAAACGGAAACGAGTGTGAAAGAGGGACCCTATCCTGACTGCCCCTATCTGCTGTTGGATGTGCGTGAACGGGAGGCCTACGAGCAGGGCCACATCGTGGGAGGTGAGGCAGGCAGGCAGAGCACGCTCTCTGCTCTCTGCGGGGAGGGGGGGGACCAACTCTCTTTTCCCTATTTCTGCCTCGTCTGTTCCCCGAAGCTGGGAATATGAAGCGCCCCACGTAGAACCGGCCGTTTTCTAAGTGGGATTCTCCTCTTGCTTCCACAGCGTACTCCTACCCCATTGCCACCCTATCCAGGACCATGAACCCCTATACGAACAACATCCTGGAATACGTATCCTTTGCCTCGTGTAAAAGTGTGGAAGCCTCTTGCTCGCTTTTTGTGCTGGCTTGAGAGAAGGGGGACGCTCAGGACGACGGCATTTCTTCTGGGGAGGGACGCTCTGTTGGCCAGGCTTGGCCAGACTTTGACCTGATAGGCTCACTTCTTTGGAGACTCCCCCCCACTCTCCCTGCCTGTGTTCCAGTGCCCTTGCCAATGGGGCCCCAGAGCTCCATGGGAAGCGGAAGTGGGGAGAGGGATTAGGAAGAGTCCTGGGGTCGAGAGGAAGGGCCCTCTGTGAGTCAGCACGGGTCTCTGGGGCCCCATCCTGGGCTTGCAGTGGAGCAGGTGTTCCTGCCACTCCGATCCTCCCATCGAATGCTCCGTGCACTCATCTCTGTTCAGAAACTCCCCTCTAGAGTTCCTCTTGCTTGTGGACAGCTGGGGGAAGGGTGTAGAAATCTGTTCCCCTGTCTTCCCCCTTTTCTACTGCATCATATGTCTACCTCTCCAAGCAGGGGGAAAGAAAATCCCAAAATAGAAAGCATATTCCTTTTTTAAATGTCCAGGAACATCGCTTAATTTACTTCACTTATGAACAGAATATACTCTGATCAAGACCTCTCCTTTTCTTGGCTGCTGGTCATTTGTATGCACCCATTGCTAGGCAGTGATCCTGTGTTGTGCCCACCCACATGGCCCCTTCAGAGGAAACAATGCACCCTTGTGCACGTCGCTCCTCGCTCTGAGAGCCTGCTCGGCCCACCTCTGCCAGCGGATTGAGGGGGTGGGTCTAATGTTGGTAGCTGCCTTAGAGTCTGGGAGGGTCGTTGAGCTGCCCCCCCTCTCCTCCACACCTCTTCACCTGGTTGTATCAGCCTTAACTCCTCCACCCACCAGAAAAACGCTCACGGGAAGATCATCATTGTCTATGACGACGATGAGAGGGTGGCCAGCCAAGCGGCCACCACTATGTGCGAGAGAGGCTTTGAGAACTTATTCATGCTCTCTGGAGGTATGAAGGACGACTGGACTGGGTTTGTTTTTTTTTTTAAGTTTCCTGTTAGTGTGTTCAGAGCCTTTCCTGGTCCATAGAGAATACATTAGAAAAGTAGGAGAAATTAGAAAATTGACTAAATTTGAGGAGATCGTAGAGGAAAGACAAGCTCAAGAGGAAGGAAATAAAAGAAAGGGCACAGTAAGTGTGATTTATAAGACTCTAACAAAAGGTTGGATATGAAAAAGCTATGATGAGAAACCAATGGCAAGAGGATTTGGAAGAAGAGGTTAAAAGTGAGGATTGGAATAAAATAGGTTCACAAAAAATAATGAACAATATGTCTATAAGGGTAAAAGAAAACTGTTATAAGGTTGCTTGGAAATGGTACTTTACCCCACTAAGATTGAATCTTTTAAATAAAAATGTACCTTCTCAATGCTGGAGATGTAAAAAGGAAAAAGGAAGTCATTTACATATGTGGTGGAGTTGCGAAATAAGAAAGAAAGAGTGGGCATTAGTTTTCAAAGAAATTAGAGAAATTATTGGATATAATATTCAAACATCACCAACTACAGTATTGCCCTTTTAATTATAATCAAGGATGACCATCTTTAAAAGAAAGAACTAGTTGTTATAATGGTCAGAGTTGCATGACTAATATTTGCAAAAAATTGGAAAAATGACAAATTAATCTTGAAGATTGGTATAAAGAAATGTGTAGTTTAGCGATCAATGATAACCTAACATAAACTAAAAGTAAGAAGGGGAGTGACAAAATACAGTGATTTCAAAGAGATATGGAATCTATATTTGAATTATGCTTTTGTAAAAAGGAGAGGCCATAAGCCAGCAGAAGAATCCATGTGTTTTTGGAGTGGAAAGGAGTAAAAAGAAATTAAAAGAAATATATTTGTTTATCTGGTCCCAAGGGGAAATTCTTGTACGATATATATGTACACACTTTTTATGTTCGTGTTGTTTTTCTTTAATAAAATTTAATTTGGGGGGGGGGGAAGAGAGGGAATGGAAAGACCTTGGCGATGGAACTGTTGTGGCCCTACAGTTCCCACAACCCACAACCAGAGGCTTGGGAATTACAGGAGTGGTTGTCCGTAAAATGTGGCCTTCAGTGCACTTGTCACCCTGCTTGTGCTCCCAGGAAAGAGGTCGAGTCTAAACCACTAAATTCCAGAAAATGCCATATCTTTTGAGTGGGCCTAGTGATGTCTGGCTTGGCAATTTAAGATTCAGAAGGCGGTGGGTTGGGAGAGGCCGGCTGAAAGCAGATTCAGTGAATTGTCCCAGATTCAGCCTCAGGGAAAGCGAGGTTTCTGGATCCTTGTCAACGATGCAAACCACCTTTTGCCTGGGTTTGGAATTTCTCTGTGCTCTTCCAGGAGCAGTGGGTTGCAGAAGAGTCCTGGTATAAAGGCACTCTGCCCTTAGCTTCTAATTCCATTGCCTCCTAGGAATTATCTGGAATTATCTGCTCCCAGAAAATAAGCCTAAAACCAAAGCGGATTGATGGGATTCCTTACTTTTTGCTATGTAAATCTTCCGTTGGCCATATGAACATAGAGAAGGCCACCATCCAGCATGATGTCTCTGTGGCGCAAGCGTGCGCCTCCGGACGGGTGGGGGGACACGCAAATTTCAGCCTTCTGAGTGCCGCTGGATTGCCACTCCTGTTGGTCCCAGCCAGCGTGACCAGTTCTGCTCTAACCAGACTTTCCAAGTTCCTCCGGATTCAGTGGCTAAGCTGTCGTTGGGGCCAGCGATGGGATTTTGGGCCCCGGGGTCTTTCTGGAAGACATCTCCCCATCTCCCTTTTGTGCCTCCCAGGCCTCCGGGTTGTCGTTCAGAAGATCCCAGAAGGCTTGATGACGGGCTCCTTTCCTGCGTCTTGCCTGTCGGCCAGCCAGCCGGGGACCACCCGGAAAAAAGCCACGCCCAGGCAGCCCTCGCCCCCGCCGGCTGAGAACAAGTGGAGATTTACAGCCGAGGATCTGCAGAAGATCCAGCGCTACCTAGAAGAGGAGCACCTTCCTTTGGACTCTGCCAGTAAGACCCGGCTCTCAGCAAACTGAGGCTGTCCCGTGCAGGCAGGAAAACCCAGAGCCTGCCTGGAATTGTTGATGAGGATGATGCCATGGGGAGAGGATTGCTTGGGCTTTGGGTCTGTGGCAGGCAAGGACCACGTGCTGAACAGTTAACAGGCATTCCTCTGGAGCCAGCCTTCCTTCCCTCCCTCCCTTCCATCCATCTTTCCTTCCTTCTGTCCCTCCCTCCCTCCCTCCCTCCCTCCCTTTCTGTCTGTCTGTCTGTCTGTCTTTCTTCCTTCCTTCCTTCCTTCCTTCCTTCCTTCCTTCCTTCCTTCCTTCCTTCCCTTCCTCCCCCCTAGAAGATCCAGTGGAGGTTGCAATATTAAAAGAAGAAAGTTAAGAGCAAAGTAATAAATTATTGCAACATTTAAAAAGCATTAAACGTATTCAAACTCATAAATAAGAGCAATATTAGGAGCTTAGGCCCCCTCCTGTGTCCCCAAAAAATGCACCTGTGAAGGTGAGGGGACCAAGAGGAAAGCCTCTCCTGATGACCTTTATTTGCATTTATTAACCCAACAAGAATTTTAGTGTGTCTGTTGGTTGGAACACATGCCTTTCCAGCCTTCTAACTCATGAAGATCATTCTTAAATTGTCCTTGGGGCACCCTTCATGTCCCATTCACACCCAATAGCTCTTTCCACTAGAAGAGCTAGAAATATATTTTTCCTCTGCTTCTTATATGTTAGATAGAAGAGCAGACATAAACAAGTTAACACTGAGTTAGAAACAAGAACTAATCAAGTGTATACGTCATTTGGAGAAACACAGGTAAAAGAAGAAAAATCTGCACCGTGATTCCTCAAATCATTTTTATTAGCTTTGAGTTTGTCATAAAAACAAAACAACAATAGACCGGGAAGTCAAATGCGAGGCAAATGCTTAATCTCCTCCCTTTCATTTTACACTTTTAAAAATCAACTGTATTTCTCCTAGGCTTAAAGATACAACAGCCTATATCGTTTGCTCAGCTCAAATAAGGGTAAATTTGAGTTCTGTGAGATTTGGTTAAGAAGCCCCTCCCTCGCTTTTCTTGTGCCAGTCTTTCACTTCAAATTAAAGCCTCAGAGCTATAATTTATTTTAATAAAATGCTTGATAATTTGCAGTCAGCGAGCCAAAAATGTGTTCTGTTGAGGCCATCCAAGCAGTATCCAGAATTGAGACCCAAAGCATGCACAGGGTGATTCAACAGATATTTCTGATGACTAATCATCACACATTTTTCCCCAGATGGCACCATAAAAATAAACTCCAAATAAATGCTCATCCATGCCCTAAAGTTCTGAATTGTCCACGTTTTGATGCTGAGGGGAAACAAAGGGGATCATGGAGGCAATGGGAGAAGTCACCAGTCTGGGGTGAAAAGACGCTCTATTTGTTGTGGTGGGGGGAGAGAGAGTTTAGGAGATTGTTTTTTGAGATCCCAGTTCCCAGAATCACCCCACCAGCATGGCTAGCGGCCCTGCCTTCTGGGGATTTGGGATCCTTCTTGCCTCACTCCTCCTCCGTGTCTTGTCCTTCTCTTGCAGGCCGCCTCAGTCGTGGTTCTTCAGCTCGTGATACCAAGGCCACGGCTGTCAAGAGCAGCCAGAATCTAGCCACCACCAACTCTGCCGTGGCCCTGAGCGCCCGCTCCCTCAGCAGCACCAGCTTGCAGAACAAGCCGTGGAGATAGCCTGTGTCTCTTTTTTTCACTGAATAAACGAGAGCCCCCTTCCCGGGGCCCTTTGATCACTACACCCCGTCTTTCGCTTTTAGGAAGGTGGTATGCAATGGACCAGGAGGTTTGTGGGGGGAGCCCGTGTGGCCAAGGCATTGACTTCCATGGGAGAGGGAGGACAGTCCAGGCCGGGAACTCTTGGGGCAGAAAGGAAGCGACTTTGGGGGGGGGAAGCAAAGGGATCTTCTGGACATCCCCGGCGAAGACTTATATCCGAGTTCTTTAATCCCCAACAGTAGAAGGCATTTCTCAGTTGTAGCAGGCACCCTCGGAGCATGGAACCTGGAGAGATCAACAGATACGACTGGATTCTGAACAGATGCAAAATTAGCATGGAAGTAGCGGACACGATCAAGGATGAAATCAGTGTCACGCTCCTCTTTTAATTCCTGACGGACTCAAGAGACGGTGGCACAGCCACGGAAGTAAAAGCAACGGTAGACTTTTCCCAGGTTTCCAAGTTCACGTGTACTTTTGTGCCCCAAAGAACACCACCTTTTCTCCTCCAGGTCTTTCTCGGTGGAGCCTCTGCCCGCGGTCCATTTTCCCTAGTATTAGCGCTTCCAAGCTTCGCTGTGGAAACGCAGAGGGCGCGAAGGTGGCGGGGAGGTTCTGTTCTGTAAGGGTGAAGAATAACATCGGGGGACAAATCATGAAAAATGGTGACCAGCCGCAGAGTAGAGGGACAGCGTGAGGAGCATCAGAGCTACGGGCTGAGTTAGTTCCCCAACAGGCTTAAATAAGTAAGATAATCTGCCTTCGTTTTTCTTTTTCTTTTTGTAGTTGCCAAGGAGGGAAGCTGTACCTCCTCATTGATTCATTCCATTGTATGCTTTGTTGAATTTTCAAGGTGATGCTGAACATCCCAATGAAGGGGTATGTTCTCTCCCCACCCCCCAGAAGAAGTGGCTTCCAGCTTGGAAAGCAGCAAAAGAATAATTGATGGTGTGAAGGTACTGCTCAAGGCTCTCCCCTTCCCCTCTGCTCTCAGAATCTGTCCCCTCATTGCTGCTCACCTAGTGGGTGAGATCCCGTGACAGCCGCCACCCGGGGAAGGTGATTTTTGAGCAGGAAAACAGTAGAAAGAAGCTAAGCCTCTCCCCCCCCATCTGTCACTGCTCTTGTGAAAGTCGCCCCCCCCCCTTTTCTGGCCCTGCTTTTCCATTAGAAAGGAAAGTTAGATGGCTTTTGAGAGGTCTCTTCCCATTAGGGCTGCATGCCGTCTTGTTTCACCTTGGTGATTTGTCCCCACTTGTCTAGTGCAAACCTACTGGTTGGGTGCACATGTGTGCATGTCTGCTTGCATGACGGCTCTCTGTTCTGCAGTTTGCCTTGTGGGCTGGACTGGCTGTGCAGAAAGCCTGCGTCCTCGATAGTTCACACCAGAGTCAGAGGGGCTGTTCCAGATCCTCTCCCCCCCCCACCTGGGGCACCGCTTGCAGATGGCAAAACGGTCCTAACGGCTTCTGAAAGCCGCTTTCTTGGCCGTCTCAGACGGAAACGGGGCAATTATCTGGCAGCCCGTCATCTTAACCGAGAGCGCAGAGGTCATGCATGAAGGCCGAGTGCTGGGACAGAGAGCAGTCGCTCTGATCCTGCTTAGCGCTCTCAGAGGTTATTCCTGCTAAGCCTTGCCTTGTCTTCCCTACCTCCCGTCCTCAGCAGAAGAGGGACAGGCTAAACGGAGGCCCGCTCTGGAATCCCCAGAGGTCTGAAAGTGGCCTCGAGGAAAGGCAGGAACCGGTTGGCTTTCCCTTGCCCATAAAAGAAAAAAAAAATCTGTGTGGGTCTCTGGACAAGTTCCTGACACACATCAGTTCCACAAGCTCTTTTTTTAATGGAAAAAGATTCTCCGTTAGATGTTTTGGAAGGCCTGGTCTGACCTGAGATTTCTGTTCTTACTAGCATGGTGTGCTTTTTTCATAAAAAGTGGCACCTTTTTCTTTCTTCTGCCAAAACATTGAGGACTTTATCGAGAACTCACTAGAGGGCGCACATTGGTGGGGGAGAGTCGTCTCCTCTCCGATTTGAAGCGCTGGTCTCATAGAGTTACCCCAACTTTCATCAGGCGGCGTCATCAAGCATCGCTTAGATGGAGCTGAACGAATTGCATGGAGAGAGGAAGCTGCTGCTGTTAGGATCTCAGGGGAGACCCGGTGCCTCTTTTTCGCCATCAAGAGAGCGCATGAGAAGCACAGGGGCTGTTCTGATGCAGCGGCTTTCAAGGGCGGCTCTTCTCGAGATGCCAAGGGTGGCATTCTGATTCCTGTTGGCGGTTACAGCCCTGCAGATGCTCAGTTTTGCCCTGTCAAGAAGAGATGCACAATCTTAAGAGCAATGAAACTAGAATCAGGGCGGTGTAACACAGCCCGATCTTAAATGTTCGCATTCACCAGACTGCCAGCCTTCCTTTGTGGGACCTTTCTTTTTAGAGGGATTTTTAGAGACATCTGTTTTTATATGCACGTATGATGTTAGGTTTAAAATTTGAAAAATAAGGTTCCTTGCAGAGAGGACACGTGGTTATCATGAAAAAGGATTCTGCTTCCACGGCCCCTGCCTCCACTTGGATGATGGGGACGTCTCTTGTGTGGGGGCCACATGGCGTGAACAAGGTTGGCTAGAAAGATATTTTACTCTTCCGCTCCTGGAAATGTCTGTTTAAATCTGACCTTGATATCCCTCAGTTTTCCCATCTATTCCCCCCCATGGCCATTATCAGCTGTTTTTGGTTGAAGGGCAGCTGTTTTTCCAGAGAAGGTTTCCAAAATTTTGGGATCTTAAAGTCCTGCAGCCAGTCCTGTGACTCAGCCATTCTCTGGTGTGGAAAGGGCTCTTGAGTCCACAGGTGGCCGAATGGAGGCAAGTCACAGAAGCCCCCTTTCCTTCCTCCTCCCTATCTGCCTGGAGACCTCCAAGTACCTTTTTTTTCTCAATGATAAATAACCTGGCCATGTGAAATGAGGTGTGTATAAATGTCATGTTATTTATTGTGAATGACAAGATGGATTGTGGTTTGGTGGGTGTTTAAGCCTTGGTGTGATGATTCTGCAATGATAAAGTGAACTAATTGATATGATGTTTTCTTCTGAAGCTGGAATTTTGGTTGTCTGTTAATCGGGTCTCCGTTTGGAGGTGCATATTGTTGTAAATAATAAATTAACTCATGCATGCATGTAAAACGAAACACCTGCTAGTCCCAGTATCTCCTAACAATTTATACAGTCTTGGACATTGTCGTTTGGTGAGTGTCTAGAGATCATTGCTTGTGAAAGGACAAATTTAAAGATTCCTCAGGGAAATAAGGATGTCCACCCAGCTCTCTGTGTTTAAACTAGATGAGCACTCAAATCTGACCTTGGCTGAAAACCCTGTTGCGTAGTGTAGCAAGTTGCCCTAGAGTAGGCCATTGAATCAGCAGAGATTTGGTGAGTCATATCCTCTGTAAATTCCAGGGACTGAATGGGTCTACTCTAGTTGTGAATTCCTTTGCTAAGCTATAGGATTTTGGCCACTGCATCTTTCTTTGGTCCCTTAAGCCTAAATGCTATTTAATTCTGTGCAGTGGCTTTCACAATACATGGCATATTGTACCACCACCCCTGCTGGATTAACTTGGGCCTTTGTGTGTGCTTCTGGTTGATCAGATCCTTGTTTCGTGGGGCAGATGTCCTTCCTTCTCCATGGGCAACTGTCGGGCCTTTGTGCGTGCTTCTGGTTGATCAGATCCTTGTTTTGTGGGGCAGATGTCCTTCCTTCTCCATGGGATGCCGAGTGTTTTCATAAATGTCTCAAAAGCCTTCTTGCGGAGCAGAAAAGCAGATACATTTCTCAACTCCTTTGTTTGAAGCAGAACCTCGCCTAATCCCTGGCGCTGGAGGAAACGCTCACATGTGTTTGATTCTCTCAAGTGGGTTTGTGGATTTTATATATTGTGGTTTTGACATGAACTGTGTCAACTGGTTTGGCTCCTACTACTTCTTTGGAAGGGTGAGATCTTTGTGTATAGTTTGGCTTTTATATCATTTGCAACTCAATAAAAAGAGAACTGTCCTCAATTTCTATGAGCCATCTTCTGGTTTTGAGTTATCCGTGTCCCAGGTAGAAACTGTCCCAGGTCCCTTGAGTGCTCAGATGCGTTTCTGTTTGGCATCAAAAAGGAAAGAGGATCTCTTTGAAATGACCTACACTTCTGAAGAGGCTGAAATCCAAAACCTGCATCTCTGTGCATGTGTTTCGGGTTTCCACAAACAGGAGATACAACCGTGCACATTTCCTCACGAAAAGCCGCATGGAGATGATCACGTGGATGGGGCTTACCAGCTTAAAAGTAAAGCATCTTCTATGGGGTGATGCCACACTTTGTGAAGGATGGCTTTTGGGTTCCTATCCCACACCAAGAAGGCCTTTCCCGTCTGTCCCAGAACAAATGCCTTTGTTCCCGTATTCACTGAATGTATTGACATGTATTGAAAGAGGAATTAAAGTGAAAGAGGACTGGGTTCCGTTGCAAGGAAAGAGGTGCAGAGCTCAGAAGGTTCTGTTCTTGACCACAACGCTCCTAATTCTGCAAGCAAGAACCACCACAATCACAAGCATCACAACAACAAAAGACATCTTACTGGTTCATTCAAAGGATTTATTATTGCCAGAGAAGCTTGCACGCTCCGAAAGAAGGGAGCCCCCTTCGCTCTGGGTTTAATAGGGATGGTCTCGCGTGTGCTCCATGATGACCATCAGGCCTAACCACGTCTCTTCGGCCGTAGGGATGATCTGGCTGGCCGGGAGCAGGAACCCATAGCGGCCCGTGTCTCGCAGCTCGAAAGTAAAGGAGTACTTAATGCCCTGCTCGTAAGTCCAGTCAATGGTGCCACCGCTTGCTTGGTCTAGATCAGGGAGTTGGATGAGGCAAAAAAGAAAGCAGCCGAGTTACATCTTCGCTAGATAACTAATTATTCTTTCCATCGAGAAAAGATTGCACAGAGTTGTGAATGAACACACAGGTTTGGAACAGCGGCACAAAATTGAAAAGCAAAGGGAGACTCAATGGGCTCTCTAGGCCAGCGGTTCCCCATCTTGGATGTCCAGATGTTCTTGGACTACCGCTCCCAGAAGCCACTCACTATGCTGGCCAGGATTTCTGGGAGTTGTAGTCCAAGAACCTCTGGCGACCCAAGCTTGGGAAGCCCTAGACAGATTGAAGGCTGGCATCCAGACCCTCCAAATAACACACGAGTGTGTGTGTGTGTGTCTGTCTGTCTGTCTCTAAAACTTTCCTTCTCCCATGTGGTCTCCCAGGAACTTTGTGCTAGGATTCTTATTCTCCCCAACGAGAAGGCCTTTGGAGTCAAAATGGCACAAAGCCATAGTGGTGTTCAGTTTCATCCGTAATAATAATGTGCCCACATCTAATTTCCAAGACGTTGACACGGCGAATAGTCCTCGAGGCTGCCGAAGAAGGTCCTGTATTGATTCCAAACTTTGTAAAGAGAGATACTTGAAACCATGCAAAGACCTGGGATGGGTTTCAGACCCTCTTGAGATTAGCCTTTAATCAGCTCTTCTGTCCTTTGTCTCTTTGCAGCCCTCTCCCCCCCCCCTTGCTCCCCGTCATGCCTACTCCTTGTTTTTTCTTCAATACAGCAAGTTTGGAGTGGGAAAGGAACCTTTCTGCAGAGGAACCTCTTAATTTTTCTACCCAACCCAAGCCCTTGTACTTGATCATGGAGCCACATGATAGACCGCATCTCCATCGCTTTCTCCCACACTGACTTTGCAAACCGCCTACGCGATTGACCCCAACTGATCATAGTACAGTTGGCCCAAGAGCTGGCTCAAGAAGCCTTGCATTTGACATCTAGGAAAGGCAAAGCCTGTGGTTGGATCCTATACTAATGGTTACATCCTTCTGACCCGGAACCCATAGGACAGCAGCTGTTTTACTGGAGACAGCAAGCGGGGAGTAACCCATTTCATAGAGTCATCCGATCATAGAGTGATGGAGTCGGAAGGGTCTTCTAAGCCTATCGAGTCCAACCCACTGGCTCTAGGCAGGGATCCAAAGCAGAGCTGAGCAGAGGGTGGTCCATGTTTCTCTTGAAGGCCTCCAGCGTTGGAGCGCTCACTGCCTCCCCCTTAAGGTCATGGGTTCCGTTATCATACTGCTCTAACAGTTAAGAAGCCTTTTCCCCCTGATATTCAGCCCTGATTTCCTCTCCCTTGGCATCCACTAGCACTTTTCTGCTTGCAAAGCCATGACCCTCCAAGCGATGGGGGTGGCACATAGCCCCGCCAACAGGCGCCACATGGGAAAAATGATCATTACAATCTTAGAAGCAAGCTATACCGTGGAGACAGTCCACCACCCTTTTGTGGCTGGGAGGACCACATTCATCTCCGTTTGGCAACTTACAGATGGTAGTGATGATGCTCCCGTATTTGTACTTGGTCCCATGCAGGGAAGCCAGAGCTTCTACGGCCGATTTAGCAACTGCATCCTAGAATGGAAAAAAGAGGCAAAGTCAGAACTGGAAAGATCAGGAAGATTCATGCGGTGCAGAATCTCCGCTTTAGGTAACAAAGATAGGAGGAATTTGATCCAGAGAGATGCAGCTTTGGAGATCGAAAGCTAAGTTGCACCCTGATATTTTCCCATTTTTATTTTTAATGGTGGTCTGCTTTCTCCTTTGTCGCTTTACACATGCGTCTCCTTTTCTTCTTTCAGCCGCTGTGCATTTGAGTAGCAAGTTTGTGTTGCTTTTATTATTTGCTTGTTAATTTGGATACGTTTCCATCCTTGTTTATTTTTACTTATTCTAGTGCAAAATCCTGTCCCCATAGTTATGCTGGCCTAAACCTGGGCCCTGGAAATAAATCAATTTAAATGAAAGTCTCCGATGGCCTCATGCCTCTATAGGGCTCCCCTTTTGCCCTGGGGAAGCCTTGTGCGCTTCAGGATGATGGTGGTGGGGAACCTTTAATAATAACAATTTTAAAAAATCGCTGCCAGACTGCTTCCCTGATAAGGACTGCAGGCAGCAATTTAGCAGCAATATCTGACTCTTATTACGCTCACAACGGAGAGACTTTTGATGGCTTCGGCAGGGCCGTGGGTCACCCTTGGAAGCCTCAGAGCCTGACGGGGCGAGCGGAATTGGTCTTTTTTTGTTTGTTTGCTTAACTTGATTATTTTTTGGTGCCCAAATCTGGCTTATGCCGGTGTAACCTCATGAACAGGATTTTGGCCATTCCAATGCTTTCTTTTTTATTGCAAGCTGCTGCAGACATTAAGGATTCAGGATAAGAAGTGCAAGAAATAAATTTGGAGCTGAGCCTTGCCCAAGCTTTAAAAAGTTCTTTGTTTGTTCATTCGTTCAATCTGTATACCACCCATCTGGCTATGGTGGCCACTCTGGGCAGTTCACCACAAAAAATAAACCACAATAATCTATGGGATCCTTCTTTTGGGTCCCAACTCTTAGAATGCCACCTGCTGCATCGGTGGGGCAAAATTCAGCCGAGTGCTGTCCCAAAAGGTTGTAAGTTCCAATGGTTTTTTTAGCTCCTTCGTCTCATTTTTGTGCCACAGCAGGATGACCAGAAGACCACTCGTAGAATCACGAAGCTGGGAAGGGCCCCTAAGGCCATTGAGTCTAACCAGGCAGGAATCCCAAACCAAGGATATCTGATAAAGGGCTGCCTAGCTTTCCCTTGAAGGCCTCCCGCGTTGCAGGGCTCCCCACCTCCCAAGGTGGTGGACTATGCGAGTCTGAAGATTGACGGGGTGGGTGGGTGGGGGGCTTACTGGGATCCAGGGAGACCTACCAGTTCCGCCTGATCCGCTGCTTTCTTGCTGGTGTAGCCGAAAGGATAGAGGAGCAGCTGGGAGTAGCTGTGGATGGAGACGAAGGCTTTGATGTTGCCGTGGCTCTTCACGAAGTCAACGATGGCTTTGACCTCGGGCTCAGAGTTGGCGTAGGGCCCCCGGTACGTCTCGGAGCAAGGGTTCCCACTAGAACCAGCCACTGCAAAGAGAAGTGGACAGGTGGAGACCTCCCTTGTAGCCGCTTTGAAATGCAACCGTCTAGGTTAGGATTTGGTCATTATATCAAGAGAGCCGGAGTCATTATCCCCAAGGAATTGCGGGAGGAACAGCTTTTACGGAAAGGGATAAGAACCTGTTACTAATTTTAGCTGCCCAGAGTGGTATAATATACAGATGGGTGGGATATAAATCAAATAAATCAAATAAATCAATAAATAAATTACACCTTTTATGGGCCTTTGTGTGCTTCATACATAGCTACGTATTGTCTTTGATGCTGTAGACTGTCCTTACGCGCATTGCTGTACAGGTATATGGCCATGATAAGGGATGTGTCATCTCCAAGCTTCGAAGGAAGGGACCTCCAAAGGCCAGATGCAGGGGAAGAGGGAGATCAGGAGACAGGGATCTTGCGGTCTCCCGGATGCTCCCAGAGGCATCTGGTGGGGGCCATGGTGAGATACAGGGAGCTAGACTAGAGGGGCCCTTGGCCTGACCCAGCACAGGGATCCTCTAAGGTTCTCTACCGGCCAGTATTGAATAACACTTTCTTAAACCTGCAGTGCATCTCCTTGCAAATTCTTATGAGAAAAAAACACATGGGTGGCTGGGGGTGAGAGGAAGACCCAGACCCGGACTTCGGAGATGCAGGCTTTCTCGTGGGCCACCGTCGGGTTGATCAAAATTACTCCTCAGACCCAGATCTCAGCCACTGGCTGTGCTCACTGGTGGATTCTATGGGCAATGGAAGCTGTGGGCTCTTGGGCCCAGGATCCTAGTCTGGGTGTTGCAGCAGCTGTCCCACGTGCTGACTATCTCTCCCCCCCCACCCCCAAATAGGCAGGGTTCCTACCCCAGAGCCAGCCACCGCCAAGGAGCAGAAGCAGCATCGAGGCTGGCTAGATGCTCCAGAGCGGCCGCTTTTCCACTTAACAGCAGAAAAGTTCAGAGCTTGCTAAAACTAACTCATGGCATGGGCTGGGGAAATCGGGGGTGGGGTAGGGATTTATAAAAAAAGTAACTTTTCCAAGTTCTGGAAAAGTTTGCACTAAATTAATCTAGGCATTACGGAGAGAACATCAAGAGAGAGGATGTCAGTATTCTAGAAATGTAATTCCTGCAAAGCTCTGTGCCTGAGCAATCAGACTTGGAGACAAAGCCCGTGTTTTCGACCGGAGGACCAATCGCAGAATAAGTGAAGCGAATCTGCCAGCGGCTGGAGAGGAGCAGCATGGAATTCCTGCTCCTCATAACATGTTCACTGTGTCCCAGGGACCTTCCTCTGAAACCCTCCACGGAAGATGTAAAACCCCGACTCTTTATACGTACCTCCAAAGCCTGCGTCCCAATTTCGGTTTGGGTCCACCCCGATGCACAATGACCCACTGTTCTTAGACCTCGTCTTGCGCCACATACGGTTCTGCAAGAGCCAGGATGGTTAATAAGCAGATATCAGAAATTGCAGAGTTTCTTCTGAAGCAAAACCTTGCGTTGAAGGTGTGCATGCGTGTTAAAGCCAACCACCTCAATCCCAAATCAAAAGATTTAGGAGGGGAAAGGGGGGGGGGGCAAGAATACCTTGCTGTGCGTGAAAGCAAATCCATCTGGGTTTGTGACGATTTCTAAGAAGATGTCAAAATTATCCAGGATGGAAGTCAGGGACGGATCCTGGCCATAACTGTCAATGATCTAGAGAGGATAAAGGAAAAGTTCTTGGCCATGGGCTTCAAACCCTAACAAGAACCGGGCACTTCCTAATGCGCTAGGGTCTGCTCTAGAGGAGAACGGCACTCCGTGTGAGAAAAGAAGGGAATGGAAATGTGAGAGAGATTTGTGGCTTTCCACAACTCCTCACTACAATTGTGAATATTACAGAATTTAAAAACTCCAGAAGTGAAAATAATGGCCTGAACACTCTCCATTTTGCAAAGCTGGTCTTTGAAACCCTGAGGACTAGAAACTTTTCCGGATAAACACATTGCGATGTTCTGTGAATGTGGAGATCTGCCTGAGCCCCTTCGTCCTGCCTGCATTCTCCCAGAATCTTGGGAGGTTTATAGCCCCAGATGGGGTAGACTGTCACTAAACTTGGACGTTCCACTTTGGACTTCTGGCGGGGGCGTAGCTAACGACAGGCAGTCCAGCCAGCTCTTGTTTCCCTTCATCTCCTTTAAGACGAAATCGCAGCAGTTTTACCTTCTTGGCGAAATAGGCGCCGCTGGCTTGCGTGACCCATTCACGAGAGTGGATGCCGGTGTCGATCCAGATGGCTGGACGGTTTGTTCCCCCTGTGCTGAACTGCAGAGCGGAGGAAGCAAAAAAATAAAACAAAATAAAATAAGAGGTAAGCTTGGGTTCTAGGGCTTGGAAATTTTTTTTGAAGGGGAACTCCAGGTCCCAGAATTTTGTAGCTGTAGTCCATCATCATCATCATCATCATTATCATCATCATCATCAAAGCTTTCCATGCTGTGTTTGAGTCTTACCTTTGCCAATCCCATAAAACTGAGGCTTTAAAAAAAGAAAGGTGACTTTAGAACTGGGAAGAATAGCTTTGGGAATCTGAGACCTGAAGACTTTAAAAAGTAATGGTCCTCGTTCTGCTTGGATCTAAAACGGGCTGGAAAGGGCAGGATGCCCAAAAAGGTTATCCCCGCCCTGCCCCCAAATCTTCCCATACCTTTTCATTGACAGAAAATAATGCATCTGAAAAGTAGCTACCTAAAAGACTGCATGTCCCAGTATGAGCCTACCTGGGCATTAAGATTATGAGGAGAGACCCTTTTCTCAGTCCCACCACCTTTGTAGGTGCATCTGATGGGGACCCGGGAGAGGGCCTTTCTCTGTGGCTGCTCCCAGACTCTGGAACTCCCTGCCACTGGAGGCCAGACCAGACCCACCTTGGCTGTCCTTCCTCAGGCAGGCAAAGACTTTTCTCTCCAGGCAGGCTTTGCCTTAATGACTGCCTGCATGAGCGGAGTCCTTTGAATGAATGGCTGTGCTCTGTTGCTTTTAAATGTACTTATAGCATTGTTCCTATGAACCATTTTTAATATCATATTTGTTTATTTTTTTTTAATTGTATACTTATAATATTAGCTGTGGGTCCGATGGCAATTTTATATATATTTTAATTGTATTTTAATTGTTACATATCTTTATTGTATTTTAAATGCTGTAAGCCGCCCAGAGAACTTTGGGTACTGTGGGCGGCATATAAATTAAATAAATAAAATAAATAAATAATTTCTAGCTTTTAAATATTGTCCTTTTCATGATGTTAGCTGCCTTTGGAACCTTTTAAGGAAAAAAACTGGGTAAAAACATGATAGACAGAAAGACAGACAGACAGACAGACAGACAGACAGACAGACTTTGAGAAGAAATGGCTGTTAGTGTTTTTCGAAAATGCTGGGGTGCCGTTGCACACATCTGCCATGGGCTGTTTCATCTTGGTCCTACATCTGCCCTTTTTGTGCCACTGTGTGTGTGTGTGGGGGGGTAGGCACACAAGCCTTTCCCCACCACCACCAAGCCGCAGTGATCCATTTTGTGCATGCCCTTCCAGAGTCATTCCCTTGGCATCCATACGAATCAATGCAGGGATGAGAGAGGGGCCAGCCCTTCCCCAGGAACAGCCATCTGGTCCCCCTTACCTTCAGGACCTTGATGGGACGGCCCTCGTAACTTTCTCCAATTTGGATTTTACTGACCAGTTCGGGTTTTTCAGCCGCTAGAAGGTCTATGAAGTCATAGATCTGGTGGGCGGATAAAAGAGAGGTTAATTATGGAAGATGTTTATTCTCTGTCCTCTAAATAATTAAATTGCCCTAAAAAGCTTGAGCATGGCTGCTCGAAACTATCTTTCTCAGCCTCACTCATCCCAATCAAGAGAATATTTGATGGGCTTACCTCATCCAAATTGTGGTACGAAGCATAGTTAAAGGTTGCAATGGATCGGGCCCGGGAATTGTGTGACATGGAAAGCTTCTCTTCATCCACCAAGGACTGGAGGGGACAAAGAGGAAAAGTGAGTGAAGAAATTCAACAATGTAGTACTGTCCACTCAGCCTTCCTTTGCACTTCCTTAGATTGCAAGCTGAATCTGAGCCCACCGTGTGAGGTGGCTCCAGGTGTTCTTGGACTTCAACTCCCAGAAAACCTGACCAGCAGAGGTGGTGGCAAAGGCTTCTGGGAGTTGTAGTCCAAGAACGTCTGGAGGCCCAAGGTTGAGGTCTTCTGGTCTAGAGAATCTAAAGAGTCCATGGTCTAATTCTCAGGAGAGGCCGAAGACCACGGTGTGAGGGGGGAGAGGTTACTTCCTGTCACCATTTCAGGGACACCCGCCCCCCCTTGAGACCAAATGCAAAACAGGCTGTGCATTGCCCGTCCCTCAGCTGTTGACCTCCTTTCCGCTTGCTGGGTCTGACGCCTCACTCGGCCCAAGGACAGGGCTGGCCGTGCCAAGATGCCGTCCCATAAGCAGACCGTTGGGGTCTTCTCCGTCCAATGTCCAGATTCACAGCCCGGAACCCTTGGCGTCCAGGGTCTGTGTCCACCCTGGCCGGGCACTGACCTGAACATCCTCAATCATGATGCCATATCGGATGCTGTTGGACTCCAGGAACACTTTGACCGCTTGGAGGCTGTGGAACGGGACTCGGACATCGATTGAGGCCTCGGGATGGATCGGCTCTCGCCAGAAATCCAGCTGGGGAGGAAAAAGAAAAAAAAAAGAAAAGAGAAAGACAACTGTGATCCATTTGTATAAACCGACAGCGCGAGGTTTGCTGCTCCCATGTCCTTTTTCACCGGGTGCGCGGCGTTGGACATGGAGGATATTCCATGGGGAAAGAGAGGGATCAGAAACCAGTCGCTGGGGGGACAGGAGGAATGGCTCTGCCTGCAGAACTGAGAAGGGCTACTCCTTTGGCCTGACTCTCCCGGAATTGAACCGCCATGGCCAGAGACCGTGGGTTCTAAGGAATTCTGGGAGTTGTTGGTTTTTTTGACCCAAAAGAGAAGGAAGAGAAGATAAAAGAGCATCCTTCTCTGCTTCCATGTGCTATCATTCTGCATAGGTACCAGGAGCCGTTCTACCAATAGAGAAGGAGGAAGGGACCAGGGATTGGGGCCGTTTCTGTTCCTCATCGTTACCTGAAGATGCTCGAGATCTTCCAACCCTTTCACTTGCTCCACTTGGAATTCATCGGCAGCAAAGATCCTGAGGACCTGGTGACTGGAGAGGTAAGGTGGATTTCTTAATACCACGATTTCCCAGACCGGCACATTTAATCCGGTTGGCTTTTATCCATGACAGGAGATGGGAAAGGTTATAAAGAAATCTTGTCCCCATGAACCAGAGAGGCAGTAGTTGGACTTTTATACAATCTTCTGTGGCTGTTAGTCCAAGGAGGCATCGTTTCTGGAATGGAACAAACTTTCCCACAAATCTGACCCATGTTGGTTGAGGATGTGCTAAAATTCTGCTCTAATTCCTGCCTTCTGTCACTAGGTGGCCCTCCAGAGTTATTTGTTCCTACATAATGAAAACAAGCTGCCATTTAAGTGGCAAAATGTGTTGCCCATTAAGCGACACAAGACATTGAGGAGGAGGAGGAGGAGGAGAACTCTTCAGGCATTTTCTACAATAGGGAGCTGCTAAGAGGCTAGTCCTCAGCCCCCAGCATGGTTTTGTTCCTCTGCAGCTCGGTGGAGGCGTCTCCAGGGTCTCAGCCCTTGAGATCAACGGCCCACATGGACTTTAAAATCGATGTGTTTGAAGCTTGTAGAGCTGTTGAAGCATTAGCCAATGTTTACGAGGAGACCATGGACAACAGGCGACGAATGTTAACGGGACTCTACACCGATGTTGCAGCGTTTGTCTGGAGTCAAAATGCAGGGAACCAGCTAAGAAAACCCTTCTGGGAAACTAGAATCATATAATAAGTGAGTTGGATGGGGCCTCTAAGGCCATCAAGTCCAACCCCCTTCTCAAGGCAGGAATCCCAATCAAAGCAGATCTTTCCTCCGCACGAGCTAAAAACAATCTTTCTCTCCTTAGTGACCATTTCGTGATAACCAAATTGCTTTGATTCTTCATTTTGGGTGCCACGTAGTGGTTATTACTGGAAAGTCAGGCGGCCACACAGGGACTGTTGTTGCCCACGATGGCTGTCCACCTCCCACCCCATGCGCAGAAGCCAGCTTTAGGGGCTTCCTCTAACCAGTTTAGGTTTTTCTTCCTCCTGCACTATCACTGAACAGATGGTTTTTCAGAAGCAAGAAAAGCGAACGTCTCTATTTGGCAGAATCGTCCCTCCTGTTCAGAACGTGAGCCCCGTTTCGCCCTGCTGTGTTCTCCCAAATGGGAAGACACCAAGTGGTCTTACAAAGGCCGTGGGACTACGTACCCGACGAAGGTCTCTGTGGCAAAGGCACCTGCCAGGAGCACCGCAAACACCAGGAGGCCCCTCATCTTTGCAACAGGGTGCTGACTAGGGACCGGGGAGCCCCCTGAGATGGCTTTTATATGCGCCACCCTACCGGGCAGGAGGCTTGTGCCCTGTTTGGCCAGAGGGACCCGCTCGGCCAGCTGACGGCCTTCCCACGGCTCCGTTGGAAAAAGGCTGACACGTCCATCCTCGCCCCCTTCGTGATCGATGGGTGGGGAAAGCGCCACCTGCCTTGATAGGAGGAGAGGAAACCCTGGACGTGTGCCCTTGCCAGGCCCTGCCCTGATGCCAATGGACGTGCCAAGGGTGAGGTCGCGCCGGCCACACGGGGCGGTAGGACCGAAAGTCACCCAACGGGCGCGTGGCTTGGGTACCCGAAAGCTGCCAGTTCCAGTGCAACGACTGGGCCTCAGAAAAATATGAGGAGGAGAGACAAGGCTGCTCCGACCCATTTCCTAGAGTTTGAGGGGGGGAAATTCAATTCGATTTCAATTTATTGATAGTCATCGAGCGTAGATACATCATATACACATGCAGCGAAATTCACAAAGAACACTCAGAGACCAGACCAAACACACACACGCACACCCTCATAACAATCCCTAAATCCCAAAACCCCACCTAAAAGCCCCTAGTATCCACACAACATGCAACGCAACAGACCAAGTAATAGGAACACAGTCCAACCACTCACTGCTGGTGATTCTGGTCTTCCTTGTTAAGTGCAATTATTATAGCTCTAGGAGTTTTTTTAAAAAAATTACTTCGGTGGACAAAAACTCCCAGAATCCTTTGAGAGACGCCGAACAAAGCAGTGCCCCTCAACACGGTTGGCATGTTGGCAACTGAAATATCACTCGATCCTTGCAGGGGGTTGGAAGCTTCCTTCACCACCCCTGACTCAGCCGACTTGCTTAGCGGGCGCCGGAAAGGTTGCATGAGGTGGCGAGCGCTCCTTGCACCAGAGAGGCCTTCGAGAGAAAACTGAAGACTCATCAGATTGGTCTGCCATGACTCGGACCCCTGCCTTGAACAGAGGGGGCTGGACTAGATGGCCTTCGGATGCCCCTTCCAACTTCAAGAGTCTCTGATTCCATGACCTGCGTAGCCTTGCGTCCAAGAGAAGAGAGCATTGTGCGCCTTCGGGGGAACCAGCCAGGAGGCTGCCTCTACTACAACCCCGCAAGAAACTGCCGCCTGAGGACCCCTCCCCAAGAAGAACGTTTTTACCCATGACCTAAGAGAGAACATTGCCTGCACCGAAGAATCACCATTGCTCACATATCCGGGAATTAAAGCAGAAGGGCTTCCAGGTCACAAGGCTGGTGGCCCCGGGTACCCCTTGCCATGCCAGGTGGCGTGCGATGCGGGATTCAAGCACGGATTCAAGCGGGATTCAACCCCCCTCTTTCAAACCGTCCCACGGCCAACATGGACACGCCTGTCGTTTTGTGCCGTCAAGTCGCTTCCGACTCACAGAGAGCTCGGGGGGCGGGGGGGGGGGGGGTCAAGAAGAGGGTTACCATTGCCATCACCCCCCCCCCAGTCTCCCTCTGACTCAAAGGTAGTTTGAACCTGGTCTCTCAAGTCACTGCGCCCAAGAAAGAGGGGAGGGTCTTGAGATCTAGTGCCTTAATTTAAGATATACTTTGGGGGACGTTGTTTTCCACCGATGGCTCCTGCTCTTACGCCTTGTTGGTGCGCCAAACTCAGCAGGTATGGATAATCTTAGAAGTGCAGAGCTGGAAAGGACCCCCTAAAGATCATCCAGTCCATCCCCTGCCAAGAAGGCCCTGGGGGGGTGATTTGAACTCCCAACCTCTGGCTCCACAATCAGAGACCTAAACCCATGAGCTATCCAACAGTAATTAGTTTTATTGGGATGTGTTCTGTTTGTTTTGCAGAATCCACTTAGGCTAAGTTGATGTTATTACTGTTGTTCAACTCAGGACTTCAAATATTTGCACAGTTTATTGTGTTTGCTAACGTTTCTGCTGTTTGCAGGGCTTCATCAGAAATCAAACCCCCAGGTTGAAGGAAATCGCATACAAGCTCAGCACTGGAAGACAGTGTTGGGCTATACGCAATATTTTGCTCAAAGTTTCACGCTGATACAGAGATATATTTGAGGAGAGAGTTGGGAAGGAAGGAGTTGACTTGGATTAAGTGCTTGCACAGTTTTGGATTTTTGATTGAATTCGTTTATAGGGATTCGTAGAGCAGACTAGTTTCAGGTTCTCCAGAGTAGTCCATCCCCTTTCCCCCTCTCATCCACTGGCACTTACAGTCTCAATAATATTATTAGGAAGAAGAATAAAAGGTTTCCTTTATTTACAGTGGAACAGATCAAACACCAGACTGGCAAATGTGACTGTCTTTCCGCAACACACTCGACGATACAGACTCCGACAGACAAACAGAGAGGGGAAAAGGCACAAAGCAGAGAGGCAGAACTCTCTTCGGATTCAGAGGCGGAGGGGGGGGGACAAATGGTTACTGCTAGATAGATTGACAGCCAGCCCAGCCCAGAAAGGGCCCTCCCAGCCTCACCTTCTCCAGGCAGATTGTAAGGCTGTAAAACTCCCCCTGAAAGCTGAAGCTCAGCATCAAAAAAAACTAAGATCATGGCCACTGGTCCCATCACCTCCTGGCAAATCGAAGGGGAAGAGATGGAGGCTGTGACAGATTTCACTTTCTTGGCCTCCATGGTCACTGCAGATGGAGACAGCAGCCACGAAATTAAAAGACGCCTGCTTCTTGGGAGGAAAGCGATGACAAACCTCGACAGCATCTTAAAAAGCAGAGACCTCACCTTGCCGACAAAGGTCCGCATAGTCAAAGCTATGGTTTTTCCAGTAGCAATGTGTGGAAGTGAGAGCTGGACCATAAAGAAGGCTGACCGCTGAAGAATAGATCCCTTTTGAATTGTGGTGCTGGAGGAGGCTCTTGAGAGTCCCCTGGACTGCAAGGAGAGCAAACCTATCCATTCTGAAGGAAATCAACCCTGAGTGCTCTGAGGACAGATCCTGAAGCTGAGACTCCAATACTTTGGCCATCTGATGAGAAGAGAAGACTCCTTGGAAAAGACCTTGATGTTAGGAAAGTGTGAAGGCAAGAGGAGAAGGGGATGACAGAGGACGAGATGGCTGGACAGGGTCACCGAAGCAACCAACGTGAATTTGACCCAACTCCGGGAGGCAGTGGAAGACAGGAGGGCCTGGCCTGCTCTGGTCCATGGAGTCCTGAAGAGTCGGACACAATTAAACGACTAAACAAACAACAAAACTCCCCCACTAACCACAGACACTTTTCCTTGGAGGAGGGAGAGCGAAACCGTCCCTCCAGATGCCACTGTAAAATAATCGAATGGCGCTTCTTTTCCACCCACCAGGAGCTAACAGTTCCATTTCTGTTCAGGGTGCAGCTTGCAAAAGGGTTGCCTGGGGAAGTGTCACAGGCCTCCCGCTGGACAAGAACGCAAGGCGTTTACTGATTTCAAGGGATGCGTTGCCCCGACTTGACACCTCCTCTGTGCCTGTGCAAGGTTGAGGTCGAAGCAGGTCTCTGAGGTTACACCCACGCTATGAACCGTGGTTGTGGGGTGGGTGGCCAAGGGGTGCCAGCTGACAAGACTCCCAGGGAATGGCACGATGCTTCCTGTGACCTCCGAGCGGAAAGACAAATTGCCTGGCAAAGGTAGAGAAAGTTTGATGGCCAGGAGGCTTCCATGGTAGCCTGTCTTTGCCCCGTTCTGAGCTTGGCACCGGGGCTCACTGGCCCAGTCCAACTCTGTTCGCACGTGGGTCTCACTTGCACAAGGTTGCCCTATTCAGAAGCCAGAGGCAGTGGCCAGGGGCTAGACAGACAGCTTGGGGAGGGGCATGCTGGGGTTTATCCCGCCTTTTGGGGCACAGACGCAAGTGCCCGGGGTGGCACATTCCTGTAGCACAGGCCCTGGCCAGCAGCATATGGGGCCTGAGTGCGAGACTCTCCCTGGGCTGGCCATGAGTCATCCATAAGCCCCAGAAGCAGGTTGGGACTTGTTAAAAACCGCCTGTATGATAGAGGGATGATCCAAAGGGACGCCGGAACTGTTTTATTGCAACCTCGCATGCTGCCTGTATTTTGAGTGACTGGGAGGGGCTTTTCTGGGCTGGGGGTAACTGTCAATCTAACCAGCACTAGCCAATTATTCCTTCCAGCCTCTGAACTCAGAGAGAGCCCCGCCTCTCTGAGGAGTGCCTTTCCCTCTCTTTAGTCTGTTCCAAACAGTGCTTGGTTAGTTTACCGTTGATCGAGTCCCAGTCGTAAGTAACGTAACATTTTTTTAAAAATTCTTTCTCCTACCAATGTCTCAGAGTGAGACCTTAAGTGCCGGTTAATGAGAGAGGGGTGGACTATCAGGCAAACGTGAAGCGGATCTTCCTGGTGTACTTTTTACTGTGTAGCGCCCTGGAACTTGACTAGAAATTCAGAATTCGGCCGCAAGCTCCCTCAGGAATGGCCGGCAAGCGGTTGCAGCTCTTCAGTGGGTTTTGCTTCCTGCTTGGCTGTTGAAAAACAGTGGGATTTTTTCCCCTAAAGCCATTGGTTGCCACATTATCCTGGCCAGTGCAGTTTTATCCAGATGTTGGTCTCATTTACTTGGGTGTCACCTTAGGACGATTTCCAGCCTCGCCTGGCTCAAAAGCAAGTCAATTCCTCACCTTTTGCCTTTGCGGGTGACTTGCAACCTTGCATCCTGCTTGAAGGTGTAGCTGGGAGGGATCTTTCCGGGCTGGGGGGGGTGACTGTCAGTTTATCCAGCCATTCCCTCCTGCCTCTGAATTCAAAGAGAGCCCCGCCTCCCTGCTCTGAGCCTTTTTCCTCCTCTCTCTCTCTCTCTCTCTCTCTCTCTCTCTCTCTCTGTCTCTGTCTCCCCTGTGGAAAACAATGATTATGTTGCTCCTGCCAGCCTTGTGGTTAGCTCGCGGCTCTCCGTTCCCTGCCAATAAATGAAATGTTTTATTCTTTCTACCGTTCAATGTCTCGGAGTTTGTTATCGAGACCGTAAGTGCCAATGGATGAGAGGAAAGGGGTGGTCTGCTCTGGAGAACTTGAAGCTAATTCGGCTCGGTGAATCTCCTGTGCTTCCACGGTGCAGTGACAGAAATTTAACCGAGAATTCAAAACGATGCAGCAGCATATTTCTGGCGTCCGTCGGTGACACCTTGGAAAAGTCCAGCTCCCAGGTTCAGCTTTCGGGCTGAAATCTCAGAGAATGGGATGCTGTGCACCAGACAACCCCTACCGAGGAGTAACGGATGCCTCTAGTAATATTTCTTCCGTCGTGAGAAATCAACACACACACACACACACCGTTCTTCCACTGTGTTTTGCCCTCCTGCACGACCCCTTTTGTGAAGGAGACGAGACAATAAGGAGCCACACTCTTAAGGGTATGCCTTTTTTATTGCTAGGATTTGTATTCCTTCCATATTTGGGGGTGGGTTTTTTTTAAAATCCTTCCCACATTTTTCTTCCTCTAAGAGAGCAAAAGAATGCCTTTGCCATGGGCTAACGTGAAAAAAGAAGTTTCAAGGTAGATGTGAAAAAGTCCTTTTTAAAAAAGTAAAACCTGGAGAAATCATCTAAATTAAAAGGAAAAAAACCACACACATAAAAAATGATGACTACTACTAGTTCGTGGCCAGAAAAGGACAGGAGGGTGGAAGTCCACGAGCCCACAATCATTCCCAGAAGGATATCAATTTTGAGCTTCCTAGGAGGTTTCAACACAGCCGGACTTCCAGAAGGAAGAGAAACGAAAAAAAGGGGCATATCTAAAATGCGTGGCCTTCTAGAAACTCTTTGTTTGTTTGTTTTTTGGTTTATTTTTGTTTACCGTCCCATTCATAAATAGCCCTATTCCAGGCAGTGACCTACCAATGTAATAAAACCGTCTAGGACAGAAATGAAAATCAACGCATCAATCAAATTAAAACAAGATCTGTTGGATTACAAATCTCATCCTCCGTGGTCAGCTTAACCAGTGGTATGGGATGATGGAAGCTCAGAAAAGATTCTTTTTAAAAAAAATTCCAGCTTCCACCAGCTGTGCTGGAATGTCATTTAAAAAGGGAATTTTCCCAGGCTCTGATCTGAAAGTGCATCTTGTATTAATCTGCTCCAAGCCTAGGCTTTGGTTTGTGATTTCCCTCCTCCTGGCACTTGAACGGGGGCTGGCATTTAATACGGATGGTCCCGGACATGTTCCATGATCTTCAGCAGAGCGACCCAGGTTTCTTCGGCCGTCGGGATGATCTGGTTGGCCGGCAGAACGAAGCCATGTTGACCTCTGTCTCTGAGTTCGAAGGTGAACGAATATTTGACCCCATTCTTATAGCTCCAGTCGATGGTGGTCCCGTCAGCTTGATCTGCAGAACACAGAACGAAATCCTGCTTTGTTTTGGACCCCACTGTTTACGCCTGGTGTATATCAGGCAGAAACAAAATAAAAAAGACAAAGATGTGGTATAAGCGCCTTAAAAGACGAACTGCTGTATTTTTATAATGGGAGCTTTCGTAGACACGTCCACTTCCTCAGACATAAGAGTGGGACAATGGGGCAAATCCTTACCCCTGCTCCCAAAATAAAGAGACTGTTTGTTTCCTGGGCACAACTTGTGCAACATTTGACTCACGCCCAGGAAACAAACAAAAGTCACTTTGTTTGGTGAACATATATAATTATTTGCCCCGTCTGAGGAAGTGGACTTGAGCCACAAAAGTCCTCACAGTAAAATCTAGCGAGTTGCCTTTAAAGTGGCATAAAGTCTTTGCCTTCTTTATTTTTACTATATTTTGCTTCTGCCTGATCTAGTAGCACAGGGCTACGTCTTCTAAAACTGTTTATCCTGGGGGGCTTATTCAGAGGTTTTAACCGGTTTCTAGGACGTTGGGTTAGCTATTCTGAGCTTTTTAAGGTCAGCCTTTAAAAAAGAAATATAAATAAATCTATATGATTCTAACCCTCTCCATCATCGGTCTCTGGTTTTTCTCTTCAGCTCACACCCGTTTCTGTAGGTACTATATTTTTCAGTGTATAAGACTATACTTTTGTCTAAAATCTTTAGACTAAAAATTGAGGGCTGTCTTATACATGGAACTAAGCTGAGGAAAGAACAAAAACAAGTGGAGGGGAAAGCAGGGATCAAAGTGATCCTGCAGCGTTTTGATCCCTTTCCCCCTACACTTGCTAAGCCCCACTTAGATTTCTTAATTTTGGATTAGAAAAGGGGGGCGTCTTATACATGGGAGCATCTTATACAAAGAAAAATACGGTACTCTACTTGTCTTTATTTTAAATTATTTGATGGGTTATCATAGCACCTTGGCAAATCCATCCTTCATTTTATTTCATGTCTTGCATTGGTGACATGGCGTATCATTAATTTTTCTTTAATGGTTGGGAAGGCTTGCCGAGGCAGAGTACACCCCCCAACCTGATGAAACAGAGGAAAGGAGGCATCTCTTTGAAAAATGCTATGTATATAAATGTGGGGCGTATTTACGAAGGTCTGAAAATCTAGCTTGGCTCCTGCAACTGTATCTCTGCCTGCGGAAATATATTGCTCTATGTGCAGAGAAAGGACAGGTTAGGGTTCTCCTAGACCGTACCATTTAAAAGAAGAATGGGAGACACTTTTCTTCCATGCCCCATCGTTGCAAACATGGGGACGTTTAAGGCTACGAACAGTCTATCTGAGGTTCTATTTCCTCCCACACAGGTAGTGGTATATTTTAAAAAACAAAATGGCATAGGTATTTAATTTAAATCAGATACTGAGTCACTTTCCTTTGCCATGGCTAAAAAAAAGAATAAAACAAAACAGTATTGGCTTTTGTTTTGGTGATGCCGGGGAGATGCTTAAGTGGCTTGGGGAGGGAGCCAAAAACTGAAGAGACTGGAGCTTCCTCTCATCCTCAGAAGGGCAGAGCCGGAAGGGGACCCTCTCCTCAAGACCAGCCTCTGTCAAGGAGGCCCCCGGGGGGGATTCGAACTCCCCACCTCGCAGCCAGAGACCTCAACCCCATAGCTATCTGACAGGAAGCACTTACAAATGGTGTCAATCAAACTTCCAAAAGTGTATTCTGTGCCGTACACTTCCTTCAAAGCGGCCACCGCTTCTCGAGCAAGGTTATCCTGCGTGAGAAATGAGGGGAGGGAGAAAAAAGATGGTTGAAGTATGGGTCGGTGGGTGGGGTCCTCCCTCATAACCCCTTGCATCCGCTGTGGGTTTTCTTGGCCCCCTTGTTTATTGGGTTCGTTATGTATTCCCCCCTTTTCTCCCACAGCCGGAACTCTCGAAAGCTTACAACAAAATACCGCACGTATCAGCGGAGACCTTAAGGCCACAATCCAACGGCTGGTCTCAATTGGAAAATAGACACACACACACCCTTGAATCAATTCCGGAATGGCCTTCCTGATCCTCATGTACGGGTGTGAAAGCTTTGTTTGAAATGTGTTGTTGGAGGAGAGCTTAGCGGATGACCCTGGATGGCCAGAAATTTTATTTATTTATTTAATTTATACCCTGCCCATCTAGACCAAAGTCTACTTGGGGGGGCTAACAATAAAAAAGCTGGAACAAGGGGGGGTCCTAGATCAAATCAAGCCTGAACTATCTCTCTGGGGGCAAAAATGATGAAAGTGAGACTGTCCTACTTTGGGCACAACCTGAGAAGGCAGGATTCTCTGGAAGAGACAATAATGCTAGGAAAGGTTGAAGGCCGCAGGAAAAGAGGAAGACCCAATAGGAGATGCACCTACTCCCTCAAGGAAGCCACAGGGTTAAGTTTGTAAGAGCTGAGCCAGGCTGTTGAGGACGGGACCTTTTGGAGACATTGTTGATTTAATGGGAATTATCCACTTGTTGGTTGTTGTGGGTTTTTTGGGCTCTTTGGCCGTGTTCTGAAGGTTGTTCTTCCTAACGTTTTGCCAGTCTCTGTGGCCATGGGCATCTTCAGAGGACAGCACTCTGTGCTCTGGTGTAGTTGGCTTGGGAGTGCAGTATTTAGGGCTGTGAGATAGGCTTTTGTCTTTTTCTCTAGATGGGTGATTAGTGTGTCTTGAGCCTGAAAAACCCACAACAACCATTAGATCCCAGCCGTAAAAGCCTTCGCAAATACATTATCCATTTGTTGTTATGTGCTGTCAAGTTGCCTACAGCCAATGGCAACCCTATGAATTAGCAACCTCCCAAATGGCCTCTACACAACAGCTCAGCTCTTGCAAACCTATGTTTGGGTCTTCCTTGGGGAATCAATCCATCTCACGTTCATCTCATTCCTCTTATCCTCCTGCGGCCTCCAAATTTTCCTGGCATGATTGTCTTTCCTTGTTGTTATGTGCTGTCAAGTTGCCTACAGCCAATGGCAACCCTATGAATTAGCAACCTCCCAAATGGCCTCTACACAACAGCTCAGCTCTTGCAAACCTATGTTTGGGTCTTCCTTGGGGAATCAATCCATCTCACGTTCATCTCATTCCTCTTATCCTCCTGCGGCCTCCAAATTTTCCTGGCATGATTGTCTTTCCCAGTGAGTTCTTGTCTTCTCACAATGGGCTGAAAACATAGGACGGGCTCGGTGTGGTCCATTTTTGTAAAATTCTCTTGCTAAAAAGCAGACTCTCTGAACCACATTATCCTCCAGACAAATAAAAACTATAAGCGATCTCATGAAACTTTTTAGACTTTCTTTCCTTTTTCCTTTTTTTCGCTTAGAGTAGCTTTTACCCAGAAAGTTGGAAAAGTTTAGTTTTGGGCTCCCGTTTTCCAGAACCTCTTCGGCATTTGGAAGCTTTTGACAGAGACGGTGAGAGGGACTGAGCCCCCAAAAATCCATTTATTCAGCCTCCGTCCTGCACCCAAATTAGGATTCCCAGAGGACGTCGGGACAGGCCATCCGATTTTCTCATCGGACCAGGGAACCCCCAGGCCTTGGCAGCTGAAACTCAGCCCTTCCTGGCCGCCCCGCGTTGGGAGGCGAGATCGGGTCTCACCAGTTCCTCGTGGTCCGCGGCTGGCTGTTGCGTATAACCGTAGGGAAACATCAGCATCTGGGAGTAACTGTGGATGGAGAGCACAGATTTCACATTTCCGTGGGCCAAGATGAAGTCCACGATGGATTTCACTTCACTCTCCGAATGAGGGAAGGCTCCGTGATATGTTTCATCGCAGGGGTTGCTGCTTGCACCGGGACCTGTCGGGGAATCCGGACAGAAGCAAAGTGAGTTTTGTGGGTCCCGCGCATGAGAACATGGGTTGTGAATGTTACTTTTTAGAGTAACAACGTCCAGAATCCCTCCGCCAGCCTGGCCACTGAAGGATGATGGAAGTTACAGTACAAAAAGGGAAATCTTTCCCATATACATGGCCCTAAACCAGCCGTATCCCCAACCTGGTGGCTTCCCTATGGGTTGGACTACAACTTCCATCCTCCACCAGTCTCACTTGCCTCCAAAACCAACATCCCAGTTGCGGTTGGGGTCTACTCCGATGCAGGAAGACCCAGCGTTGATCGATCTTGTCTTGCGCCACATGCGGTTCTAGAAGAGCAGAAAACTTAACATGAGCTGGGCTGCATTGTTAGCTAAATGGCTGGAAATGACCACGCTGCACAGGAACTGCAGGATAGCTCAGGGGTTTAGGGTTCTGGCTGCGGAGCCAGAGGTTGGGAGTTCGATTCCCCACTTGGGCCTCCCTGACATGGGCTGGACTGGATGGTCTCGAGGGCCCCCTTCCAGCTCTGCATTTCTAATATTCTAAAATTATTATTTAAAGAAGAAGTCTTGTACTGTATAGCTGAAATGGTACCGGGGGACCCCTGTAACCATGGGGGATCAGTTCCAAGTTCTCTCCCATTCCTGTGGCTGCTGAGAAGCATGGATTATAGCAAACCCTATTATAACAACCAACAATACAGTGGTGCCTCGCATAACGATGCTATTACTGTATAACAGCCAACAATATATATACACAGTATGGTTTCTGGCTCCCTCTCATGGCCTGTTCTGGTAATGACATGATAGAAATATATTTCTCTAGTGAATAAAGGTAAAGGTAAAGGTTCCCCTTGACATTTTTTGTCCAGTCGTGTTCGACTCTAGGGGGCGGTGCTCATCCCCGTTCTTGCGCCACATGCGGTTCTAGAAGAGCAGAAAACTTAACATGAGCTGGGCTGCGTTGTGAGCTAAATGGCTGGAAATGACCACGCTGTGCAGGAACTGCGGGATAGCTCAGGGGGTTAGGGTTCTGGCTGCGGAGCCAGAGGTTGGGAGTTCGATTCCCCACTTGGGCCTCCCTGACATGGGCTGGACTGGATGGTCTCGAGGGCCCCCTTCCAGCTCTGCATTTCTAATGTTCTAAAATTATTATTTAAAGAAGAAGTCTTGTACTGTATAGCTGAAATGGTACCGGGGGACCCCTGTAACCGTGGGGGATCCGTTCCAAGTTCTCTCCCATTCCTGTGGCTGCTGAGAAGCATGGATTATAGCAAACGCTATTACTGTATAACAGCCAACAATATATATACACAGTATGGTTTCTGGCTCCCTCTCATGGCCTGTTCTGGTAATGACATGATAGAAATATATTTCTCTAGTGAATGATAGTATATAAATTGTATGGTCTCTGCCTCCCTCTAGTGATCGTTTCTGGAAACTTCATTGTTGAAAAGATATATTGGGGGGATTTTTTAAAAATATTTTTAATATTTTCGAAACTTCATTGTTGAAAATATATATTTGGGGGATTTGTAAAAAATATTTTTAATATTTCCCGACCATGACTAAGCAAATCAGCAGATCCTGGTCCCGTGAGTAAAGGAGTCCTACTGGGGCTCAGAAGAAAAATCCCTAAACTTTGCAGAACTATAAAAGATCTTTAGAGAATCTGATGGTCTCTGCCTCCCTCTAGTGATCGTTTCTGGAAACTTCATTGTTGAAAAGATATATTGGGGGGATTTTTTAAAAATATTTTTAATATTTTCAGATCATGACTAAGCGAATCAGCAGATCCTGGTCCCGTGAATAAAGGAGTTCAATTGGGGCGCAGAAGAAAAACCCCTAAACTTTGCAGAACTATAAAAGATCTTTAGAGAATCTGCTCTAGGGAGCACGGCTAATATTGGTGCATCTGGGTGTCTCCTGACCTGACCTTCCAGGAGAACTTACCGTGCTGTGAGTATAAGCAAAGCCGTCAGGATTTGTGACAATCTCCAGGAAGATGTCCATGGAGTCGAGGATGGAGGTCAACAAGGCATCCTTACCGTATTCGTTGTTGATCTGCAAAGGAAGCAAAAGGTTTTTTTCCATAAGTTTTATCCCTTACTCACTTCCATCTGCCATAGGAATTGGTGAGGAATACAACGTGAGGATGAGCAGTAGCGCTTTAAACGCTGGGGAGAATCGAGCCCTTGATACAAATCAAGTGGAGGACTCTTCCAATGATGGAACTGGATCTATTTATCATTTATTTCTTTAAAATATTTTTTTGCCCTGCCTTTCTCCTTAAAAGGACACAAGGCGGCTTACAACCATCAGAAGGTAATAATATTTTAAAGGCTAAAAACAGTAAGGATCCAAATGTTTAAAAAGAATTTTAAAACATGCAATGAAATCAATGCAAAAAACACTTTTTAAAAACAACAGAGCACCATTTTACGCTCTATGATTCCGAAGACTGCATCTGGCCATTCTCCAGTCTAATTCTCTTGAGCTTCCCCACTCCGTGGGAGAGCAGCCTTCGGAGGATTGTCCAATTGTGTATGTTTTTATCCCATTCTAAAAGCTAGAGATCTCTTTCTCTGTGTCTCTCATTCTCTCTTTCTAAAGGCTTCGTTATTATCAACAATAAGAATGCAAGCTCTACCCCGGTTGCATTTGGTCCCTTGGAAATGTCTCTAAAATTGAATTTGAGTGACGATCTGTTTTATCTCTCTTGCAATGGGTAGAGAAAATGTGCTATTTTTTCCTCCATCTTCCCTGTTTTCTCCTCCCATCATCCTTGGAAGGTAGACTTGGAGAAGACTCGTAGGCCGCTACAAGGTTGCTTAGTGGTGGCTGAGTAGACCATCTGAATGAGGGTCTTCCCCATCCTATAACTGCAAGAGCAATACAATAGGGCCCCCATAGCCACAGGGGGTTGGTTCTAAGCACTATTGTGGATGCTGAAAACTTCAGATAATAGTGAACACTATACATACCCTGTTTCCACGAAAATACGAACCTAATCTGAAAATAAGACCTAGTAGGATTTTTCAGGATCCTCCTAATATAAGCCCTACCCCCAAAACAAACCCCCGTTAAGTTAAACCCCGCTCTCCACCACTGTGCAGCAACCAGAAGAAGATGACATGACTGTAAAATAAAACATCCCCTGAAAATAAGCCCTAATGTGTGTTTTTGGAGCAAAAATTAATAGAAGACCCTGTCTTATTTTCAGGGGTAATGGTAGCATGATAAAAAAAAATCCAGAAAAGAGTATTTTCAACGTGTGTTACCAGAACTGGCTACTAGAGGGAGCCAGAGACGATGCTATGTATTTTTAAAAAACAAGACTACGGGACTTTTGTCTCTTTCTAGCAGCTAGTTCTAGTAAATGCATGGTGAAAATGCATATTTCTAGCTTTTTTTCCCTTAATATTTTTAATATTTTCAGTTTCAAAAACAAGACTATGGGACTTTTGTCTCTTTCTAGCAGCCAGTTCTAGTAAATGCATGGTGAAAATAGATATATCTAGCTTTTTTCCCCTTAATATTTTTAATATTTTCAGAGCACAGGTCAGTGAAACCGTGGATACCGATCCTGCACATACTGGGGTCCTACTGTATACCACCATTCCTTTCTACTGAAATAAGAATAAGCTGCCAGTTCTCAGTCTGAAAAGACCTCCTTCCCAAGCACAATCACCTTGTTTGCTGTCCATAGCCCTGTCGCCTGGGTAATCCACTCCCGGGAGTGAATGCCGGTGTCGATCCAGATGGCCGGGCGCTTGTCTCCTCCCGTGCTGAACTGCAAAGGGAATCAGCAAGCATTAAATTAAAAAAGGAGGCAGAGAAGCAGCTTCATGACCCAATCCATCTGGTTGGCTTGACCTCCACGTGATTCGAAAGGGTTGCTTTGAGCAACCGTTTCCAAAGATCACGCTTTGCTTTCCCCAAAGACCTGCTCCTTACTGATTAATATGCACGGATCCAGCAGCCTGCATTGGGACACTGCTAACAAGAGGGGGGGACGGCTATGAAGAGCCTCTCTGCACATCCAATTGACCAACTATCCCAGTGGTTAGCGGGTTCAAGGAGAGGAAAGATGTGAGAACCACCCTTTGGGTGTGTGGGGCGAAGTTGGACTCCTTAAGTGAGATATCTTGGAAGCGTCTTCGCCTCCAATCTGTTTGCCCCGAGCTTCGTCTCTCTGCCTAGAGACAATAAAAAACAGGATGGATCCTGGAGAGTTCTGATGATGCCCTTTGACCTGGAAGACCTTAGCAAGCAGATCTGCAGGGACCCCATGCCTTTCTGTCTCACCCTCAAAACGTAGATGGGTCGTCCTTCGTAGCTCTGCCCGATCTCAATTTTGCTGACCAGGTCTGGGTTTTCAGCCACAAAATCATCCATCCAGCTGTAGATCTGAAAGACAAAGATTTACAGCTTGGCCTGATCTTGCCACGCTGGTCTGGACAATAGGTACTATGTCTGTCCAGAGGCCAATTTGTTTCAATAGGGAAAAATACTGCAGGCCTTCACCACTGGAATTTCTGTCCCACCCTCCCAGAACATCTGGTCCAGGGAGGGTTCCCAAACTTGGGTCCCCAGATGTTCTTGGACTACAACGCCCAGAAATCTTGGCCAACTCAGGTCGTGGTGAAGGCTTCTGGGAGTTTCACCCCAAGGACATCTGGGGGCCCAAGGTTGGGAACCATTGACTGAGACCTTCCTGTAAGCCTGCGATAGTTGCCATGGGCCAACGGAAAGGAGGCTGAAAACTCTGAGAACCACATGATGGAAGAAGAGGCAAGCACGAAGCCCGATGCATGACCCCCATCCGACTGCCACGTTTTGCTTTGCATTTCGACAGAGGGCACTCCTGTTGCAGCTTCATGTCGTGATACGGGCACTTATGCGCTCAGAGATGTCTTCGTTTATGGGGAACTTTAACACAAGACACAGTGAGGGTGAGGAAGGGGAGAAGGTTAGGCTCAAAGAAGCTACGTAAATACCTCCTCTATGGTGTGGTACGAAGAAAAGCTGAATTCCCCAATGCTTCTTTCAGACTTCCTGGCCAACAGCATAGTTTCCCGTTCTTGATCCAACAAAGCCTGTATTCAATGATAACGATAACGGTAATGAACACAAAGGGCACCCAGGGAGCGGTAGTTTTCCGGAATTTTGCAAATCCTGGAGTTCTCCCAGGTTGTCTGTTAAAAGGAAAGTTTGGCCACTACCAGCTGGATGTCCTCCAACTCCAGGGGATTACAATTCTCCTACAAGGGAGCATGAGGTGGCCACATGTATGCCATGCTCACACTTCCATCATTCAGGTTTAAAATATGGGATGCCAGTAGCACAAGACAGTCCTCTCAGAGGTGAAAATCCCATGGGAAATTCTCTCTTGTGTGCAATGTTCTCTCCAAGCGATGCGCGCATGCGCTTGCCCAGAGCTCTGTTAGGGGTTGCGCATGGGCAGGTGGCAGCCGGTTTGGCAGGTGGCACCCCTGCGCACATGGAGCAAAGCTCCCGCACGGCGGGACAGAAACTTAGAGGGAATGTTGCTGGTGTGTGTTTGTTCATCAAGACCTAAGCACTGGCTTGATAGGAGAGTGGAGTTGCTCGGTTAAGAAGCTATCCAGCATTGCGTGTCTGGAGGGAAAATGCTTTATCACCTTCTCCTAAGAAAGGTAGCTGGCTGGATAGCTCAATGAGCTAGGTATCTAACTATGGAGCCAGAAAACATCTGTTTTCCCTGTCATTTCTCCCTTGTCCTTCAGGACTTGCAGGAAGGGGGGAAGGCACCAGGCAAGACTCTTCCCCCGGGCGTCCGGGGTCAAGAGGCAGGAGGGAGCCCCCTTCTCTGCTCCAGGTGGCCTCACCTGGAGGTCTTCGATCATGACGGTGTAAGGAATGCGCTTGGACTCCAGGAAGACCTTGACGGCTTGAAGGCTGTGGAAGGGAACCCTCATGTCCACTGGGAGGTTGGCTTTCGAGGGGCCTCTCCAGAAATCGATCTTATTTTCGAAAGAAAAACAAAGTTAGCATGAATCAGAGAGCTTGGGAAAGCATCACTTCCATGGACTACGACTCCCAAAATCTTCTCCACCAGGATAACCCTTGTTTCTCACTCACCTCCACAGAATACTATCTCCCACTCCTTTTCAAGCCATCTACTGTTTGTTTGTTTGTTTGTTTAAAATATTTTTACCCTGCCTTTCTCCTTAAAAGGACCCAAGGCGGCTTACAGTGATTCAAAGCCAATATTTAAAAAGTAAAAACAGCAAGTTACACAAATATTTATAAAGGATTAAACAAGTGTTTTATTAAAAACAGTCAATAAAATCAATACTAAAAACATAATTTAAATCCACAAATACCAGCAGAGCTTCAACAAAAAAGAAGAAAGTATAAAACTCTACAAAATATGGCTCCCAGCACT